GCGTTCTTAATACGGATGCCGGAAAATGCGATGAGGACCATGATTGACTACTTACCTGTATCTGTGCCGGGCCATGATTGACTGGGCCCATCGTCTCGGCGATGGACTGCGAATGTGCGTTTGTCCAAACGCGAAGCTGCGGGTGTGTATTGGAAGACCTGTTGGTACGGTATAGGTGGCGCACTTGGGAGCGGAGCGGAGAGCGTGGAGGGAGATGGAAAAGGGCGTGGCGGTGGGGCTTCGAAGGAGTCGGTGAGGTTAGTCAAGTTAGCGGAAGCCACCAGCGGATGGATAGGGCGCGGAGATTCTGCTGGCCATGCATGGGAGGAGAGGGAAGAGGGATGGAGGTGGTGGTCTTGCGGCTCGAGATCGGCTGGGATGATACGGTGGAACACTTGTTGGCAGTCAGACTCAGCGAGAGAGGCGAGAAGAGTATAAGGGATGGCGAGAGTGAGGATACGCATGTGGGGCTGATTGCTGGTGGAGTCGCGGATGGTGGAGTGTCTTCTCTGCCTCCTTCCGCCACGCAAGTCGTAGGATGAGTCGGAGGCGGAGTTGGCGTCGGAGTGCAGACTCACTGTTTGGCTCGCCGGCTTGGCTTGTTCGCCGCGCCGTGGGAAAATCGGATCCACAACATTCTGTTATCCGTCGGCCCGCGCCCGTCCCAGACCACGCGTCCTCGGTTCCCTGGAGACGCCGAGACCGGCTGGCTCGGCGTGCATCAAGTCCAGATATCCCCCATCATCCGACATATCATCCTGGGTGGGACTTGCGTTGACTCACGTCACTCTTTGAAATTTATATCCTGTTCATCGGCGACACTGCATCTGAACAGGATGGCACACCAATGTATTGTACATAGCTGTAGCCTCATCAACCTGTATGTCGCTGATTCCAGCTGGTCATAGCAGGTTCCCTGTCAGTTGATGAAACAACTGACGTTGTCTCTGGATCAGGCAGAACAGCCCGGCCGGGGATCTGCTAAGCTACAGACTCACAGAGAACAGTCAGCGATTTGACGATAAGATACGCGTCGCGGTTAGCTTGGCACGCACGGTATCGGACTCCAACTCGATGAGAAATGAGAACCGGGCTCGGGCGTGACAAGAATATAAACTAGTTACAGGGTTGCGGCGCAGTAACTAGGTTAAGATTGATGATAGATGGGGAAAATGTCACAGGATGGATTAAGTTTGGCAAGCCGTACACACCCTGTATCCCAACAAAAACGAAGTGGGCAAGCATGGCAACAAAAGCATACAGGAGCTGAGTGCATGACAGCGAGATAAGCATGAAGCCTGGCACCGACCCATGAACCACGCATGCGGCGGATGACAGCGTGGTGTGCTTATGGTCTTGAGCTGGGACGCGTCTCCATCTGATTCTCAGACCTCGCACTCTCCAATCTCGTCAGACTAAAATCATAAACGTCTCTCCCGTGCTAGCTTAATACCAGCTTTTGGTGGGAAAAATTTTCCCCTTGTTTTTACTCCACTTCCACTGACATGTTTAATCTTCCTGTTACATCAATTGATAGGCCTCAATGAGATCTATCCGCATGTTATTCCTTGCATTTCATCTCCCCTCCACAATTAACCACTTCAGACGCTTTTGAAAACCAATATTTACCTCTATCACCATGTCATCTAGGCTCAGAGCAGTAATATGTATCTGTGGTTCTGCACTGTCTGGTCTGGATCATAGTACCACAAGCTTGCAAGCCCCTCTTTCGGAGGGGGCGCTTCGTGCCCACCCCCTCTCTGGGGAATGGGGCTTACGCTCGTGGGGCCGTGCACGCTGTAATACGGTGCGCTTGGCATCTGTTAGAATCAGAGCACAATTGTCAACTTAACCTTGCTTGTTGTCCAGAGTATTGTCATCGTCTCAAACCTAATCTCTGTGCTGAGCAACTGTGTATTTACAATATAGTCATTCTCGGTGCTCCCGTGCCGGTCTCATTCCTGAAGCGAGTTGGAGACCGTACCGAGATCAGGCCGAGCTTACCGTTCCGACGTGTTTCTGATCGTCAAATTCAGACGGACTCATAAGCATCACCAGGCCAAATCATAAAAAAAAGGTGCCACTACATATACGCATTCGAAAGCCATTGTCGTATTTCCTCTATCGGAACTCTGATACGAAGTCAATGTGGCGCGAGCTCGTTCGTTGGTATAGTCGATAAGCGTATCAGGATGTATCATGAATTTTTCTGTGGCGCACTGCATTGCTGGTACCACGAGGTTTCGGAACCCGATCCCCACCCATTAAAGTTCCGTTAAGTCTTCATGCCTTGTACCGATGACTATGACAGGGGGGGCAGCAGTGTTTGACCTAATCTTGTAACTCCAGCCAGTAGTGACTAGCGCCGCCCGCAGACCAAGTCTCCGTCATCCTTCTCATCCTCCGGGCGCCATCCTTCCTTTCTTCACGTCTATAAAAAGGGACCCATTTGTGGCGACGAACATAGACCGATCAAGCTGTGACTCCAAGTCTCCTCCCATTATATATACAAACGTCTCATCCAGAAACTCCATCTCATCACCTCTCCCATCAATCAATTCCAACGCATAATAATGAAATTCGTTTACTCCTCCGTCATGACGATGGTGACCCTGGGCCTGAAAAACTTGTTGGGCTTCTTCCTGCTACAACACCTCATGTTCTCCAGCTCGGTTACGGCCTTGCCCATGGATATTCATATCATGGACCAAATCGCTATGGAGGAAATCATCACTATCAAAAAACAGACTGGAGCTGAGTTGAGTATATATTCTCTAATCCTGGAAGCAGAATAATGTATTACAGAGTCCAACAACGCTTGCGGAGCTTCCGCGCGGATTTCATTTGACCGAACCCATTTCAAATCGTTCGGTGGGTGAGCACCAACGAAATGGCCGCGTCCACCGGGGAAAAAGAATTCTGAGAGTAAAAAAAGTTCAAAATTGATTGAAAAACTGCAAGCTTTGTGGGACTAGCTGTTAATCAATTATATACATAAATAGGATATTATTATGAAAAAGAAAGCCGAATGTTGATGATCTTGATTTTTTTTTTCCCGCTTCCTCGATCGACACTATGTTTCCCCACTCACCAATGACGATTCACAGCTCGAGTGCGTCCAGAGCACGTGACGCATCAACCGATAAGGCCGATCCCAAGGACGCCAAGGTCTCCACCAGCGACAACAAAGGCTCTGATAAATCTTCATAGTGGAAAACAAGAAGCTCCAATGCTTCTAATCTCCCTTGTAAATGCGTTGTATCTCTGGCCTGCATACCACAAACCCAGCAATGGTGGCGACTTTTTTTTAAGATAAAAAAAGTGGCCAAGTAAAAAGGTTTTCGAATTCAAATTTCAGTCTTGTGTCAAGAGGAGCAGTGACTGTGGGAGAGGTGCTAGTTCAGTCAAGATCTCCCATACACCAATCAAGTTTTTTTATGCCAGCGAATTTTTTGTTTTTACTAATAACATTTTATTTTTTCGGTAAGAAGTTGCAAGCATTGATAGATCTGCTGTATAATGTAAAGACTGTTGTAGTAAACACGTTATGTAGGAAAAACGTAAGCTACAGTCATTCAAGAAATTCCAATCCCATACTTGTGACTTTCCTTGATATTACATCACATATCCTCATTTTTGATTGACTCAACCTATGACATCCATGTATTTAGGGTGCTGGGTACATGACCCCCAATGATTAGATCTGCAACCCATCTTACAGATGCTGTCAGAGCGGCCAGGGGACATCAAGCCCCGGAAACACGGAACTGGATGGAGTTTGGGGGTCACCAACCCAAAAAACAGGAGTTGCCACCCCAATTCCAACCAATTTTACAAAATGTCAAAGCTTGGGGGTTGCCAACCCAAGAAATAGCCCCAATTACAATCAAAGGAACTTAGATAACATTTATTATTCAGCCATTCCCCAAGATATAACTTTTTGGGGGAATGTAAATGGCTTAATACAAAAAAATAGCATGATCTAAACAGTGATGCACACACAATTGCAAGATAAAGATTTTAGATAAAAAATTAAAAAAAATAAACACCAAATCTCACCTTTTTTTGATCAAAATTGGTGGCAATGATGCACAAACAATTGTATTATCCCATTTTTGAATAAAAAGGAAACTTATTTCTTTGGCTAAAATCATTTTTCTATCTTTTCTTTTTCTGCTTACATTGACCACCCTCCAATATTTTATTTAATTATTGATTTAGAATTTTTGAAGACATAAAGGAAACATAATTGAGAGGGAGTAAAATGTTCAAGAAAATTGAGTCAATCAAGGAAAAATATGGAGGAAAAGGAAAAGAAGCCATAACACAAATTGATGTAGTAGAAAGTTAAGAAGAAAGCACAAAAAAAAGATAATCAATAAAAACATCTTTTATCCCCCTCCCCTTAATTTTAGCAGTCAATTCAAAGCAGCTAGCATATTTTGCCTCCCACTTTGAACACCAGGGCTGTTTCCATGGCACTTGCATGTAAGTGCTTTCACATCACTTTTCTTGAATAACTTTTTGGTAACTTCTGGGATGTTGGTCTGAAGTAACGTACAAATCAGGTTGAACTCAGGCTGAAGATGGTTTTAACTTGTGCTGATTTTAAGCTCAAAAATTATCCTGATGTATTGCCCAAGTCAAGCTTTTATCATCCTTCCAATATGATCAGATCTTCATTTAACCTGCTAAAAAATTATTATTATATATCTTTTTCTCATCCAATTTTTCTTGAAATGATATTTGAATTCCAAAATACTGTGAAGGATTATAAAGAAAATGATGTGATTCATACTCAAGGAATTATTTTTTGTCTTGAAAGGATCATAACTCATATCAGCTAAATTTTCCAGCCTTGATATTCTTTTTGTATGTTATGATCACATTGAGAATGTGGATAAAAGCCTTTCCAGTCAGCCTCCATCAATTTCTCAATCCAAGTCCATTCAAACTGTGAAACCAATCATCCAAAATATTGAACAAGTTAAAAGGAAGTTTGTGTACTGTGGGAATTGAACCCACAACCTCAGAATTCATGAGTTATATCCTAACCATTGAGCTAAGTACACATTGCTAATGTGTTGGTTTGTGGAGTAAATTGGTTATTTACAGCTTGTGTGTGGTTTTTTGCCTCCAATGCTGTTAGGAAGTCTCACATGGACATGTGAGCAAATGTGTATCAAGCAGTGCCTGGTTTGACACTTCAACACAAGTCAACCCTCTCTTTTTCCTCCTTGTAAAATTAGCCAATCCCACTGCCACTTTCCCCCAAGCCTTTCTTCAGATCTGCCAAGGCTACTGTGTTGAGTTTTTGCCTTTGTGTTTTCTTAAATGACAGAGAGGAAAACCCTCTGCCCGCAGCTGGCACCATGTCACCATAACATACGGCCGTACTTTATGGTGACAAGGCAGACTTACATCTCTCAGCAAAATGGTCAGTACAGAATCAAAACATGCTTTACACAATCAAAATTATTTCTCCACTTGACTATTCCTCAATGCACTTTTACTGAGTCATATCCAAGGGCTTGTTTTGATATGTTTCCACCATGACATCAAGCCACATTGCAACCAAGTTACAAAAGAGTTTTAGAGATCACGCAAAAAATTGGATAATTGCGCTTGGATTGGTTTCATGGTGGGATACCAGGAAGACAGACGAGGTTGTATTTTCTGGAATCCAACTAACAACAAATTTTTTGCCTCCGAATGTGCCACATTGCTCGACACCAACAATCGGCCAATTGTTTCATCATCACCTCCAGTCCATATCCTCCAAACATTACATCTTGGTAAAGTCCCCACGGATGAAATTTGTGCTTCCCAGGATACCTTGATCGACGAGATTGGTTACTCACCCAATATAGCTATCCCCATGAATTTTAAACAAGCTCTCAAGTCTCCCCTATCAACCAAATGGAGACAAGCTTGCTTGCCCAAATGGGACAAACTCAAGGAAATCAACACATGGGATGTGGAGGATAAAGCCGACAAACACCCAATTGGCACCAGGTTTGTTTTTGATATCAAACAAGACTCAAATGGGGAAATTGAAAAATTTAAAGCATGGTTTGTAGTCCGTGGATTCAAACAACACCTTGGCATCGACGTAAAATCCACATTTGCTCCGATGGCATCCCTTTCCACGCTCCGCCTCCTATTATCATTGTCAGTCAAATTTAACTGGTCTATTAACGCTTTTGATGTAACGGGTGCATTTGTCCATAGTCCAATCAAAGAAATGTGTATACAAACTTCAAAAAGATACCCACATAGTGATCATTTGGCTTCATGTCGACGACGGCATAATTTTCTCTAATTCTGACCACCACCTCCAAATACTGCGCCGCAATTTAGAAAATTCTCTCCGCTGGAAATGGCTTGACACTCCCGATGAAATTGTTGGCATTAAACTAGAACACCATCCAAATCAACTTTTCCTCTCTCAACACCTCCTTCTTGACCAATTACTCAATAAGTATGATCGAGAATTCAATCAGAAATACATTGCCACATACACACCACTCATCGACACAAGCATGACAAGCTCTCATGATCCACCTATCAATGCAACTCAATTTCAATCTTATATTGGCTCCCTCAACTATCTCGCTTTGGGAACGCGCCCAGACAAATCTCATTCAGTCAACTTTCTCGCACGATTCAGTTCAAACCCGGGGCAATCCCATTGGAATGCTCTCCACCACCTCATTCGATATATCCGCACCACAAAAAACAAAAAACTCACCCTGTTTCCTGATAATTCCCACTTGTCGACGTGGTCTGATGCCAGCTGGGGCGGGGAATTCCAAGGGTCGACATCGGGCTTCATCATCAAATGTTTTGGTTGTCCCATTGCTTGGGGGTCACAGCGGCAGACATTGGTTGCCAAATCTACTTGTGGCGCCGAGTTCATTGCACTCGGTAGCGCTGTGGACTTGACCCTATTCCTACTACACATTATCCGGTCAATAATCCCTGACTTTCAATGTTGAGTCCTATGCGATAACCGAGCGGCCATCTTGGTTGCCTCTGATAACGGATCAAAAAGCCATTTGAGAAGCATAGAGCACAATTTTTTTCTTTGTCAACGACTCAGTGCAAACACACAACATCCAACTCGAATGNTGAGTGATTCTCTAACCATTGAGCTAAGTACGCATTGCTAATGTGTTGGTTTGTGGAGTAAATTGGTTATTTACAGCTTTTGTGTGGTATTTTGCCTCCAATGCTGTTAGGAATTCTCACATTGATGTGTTAGCAAATGTGTATTAATCAGTGCCTAGTTTGACACTTCAACACACGCGACACCATTTCTCATCAACAGGCTCAATTAATCCTAACCCCAATCACAGAAGCTTAACAAAACCAAGACAACTCTCCCAAATAATTAAAATTTGGTAGCCAACCAAACCTTTTCATATGTTTTAATCACCTGATTCATCTCTGAAGCTTGGCTCTCACCTAACCTGATGGTGCAATTAATGGTATTACTGCAGTGGGAAAGCTGAATACAAAATAAAACCTTGGTTTGGGTGAGTTGGTGGTGGGTGAATCTCTCAATCACCCACCCCCAACCACACACACTTGTTGGAAGGCCAACTAGATATCATCTCTTTTTTCCTCCTCAGAAGATGGGCCACTCCCGCTGCCACTCTCCTGCAGGCCTGTCTTCAAATATTCCAAGGCTAATGTGTCAAGTTTTTGCCTTTGCCTTTTCTTGAATCACAGAGGGGAAACCCCTCTGCCCACAGCTGGAATCTTTTCACTAAAGGATTTAAGGATCTAGAATTGATTACAGAATGAAAACCAACACACTAAAAATAAAAACATTAGAAGAGAAGAGTAATAAAGACAAAAAGAAAAAGTGACCAACAGATTGATGACATAAAAATAGGCTTAAGATTAAGAATGGGGGAGGATAGCATAATTAAATAGTACTGAAGATTTACAGTCAGTTGATAGCCATGTTTTATGATTTACAGGACGGAAGATAAATATCAAGGCAGAAAGAAAGGATTGAGAAGATATAAATGAAGAAGAGGGTAAGAATTAGAGAAAAGAGTGATGTGATGATTTGTTGAATTTTGATTTTATGGGCAATTGATGAGTTTGAGTTCAAGTGATCAGGAATGATTAAATTTTATTGAATCAGATTTAGTTGAGAATGAAGGCAGAATCTGCTGAAAGATTTGAGAGTGTGATAATGAAGTGACATGAGTCTAGGATCTTTACTTTCACCATAACGTTGTAAGACTTGAAAAGTGGTTTTTACACCCTTTCTGCTGAATTTATAAAGGGATGAATTGAGGAAGCCTCTGCCTTTCTGGAATATCAGATACAACACTTCCAAGCTAGGCGTTAAAGTCATGGAAGTGATATTTTGTGTCACAACACACCAACCACTAGTGGTGAAGGGCTTGAATGATTCAACTCATCATGGCACTCAAACCTGGGAGTAATGACACTTTCAGTGTATTTAATGTGATTAATAAGTTGTACTTATAAATTACTCTAATAATGTTCTTGCAATAATAACTAAATGAAATATAATAACTTGTAATTATGTTCCCCCTACAACTGATGTGAGAAGGGAATTATTGATCTGATGGGATTATGAGATGATCAGAAATGAGCTGAGAGGAGAGTGTTTTTTATATAGACAACTGTGAGCTATTTTTGCTGGTGAGACAAGAAACTGAGGGGTTATTGCAGGTGGGAAAAACCAGATGATGTGAATGTATAATTTCATGCTGTGCAGGTTGCCTAGTAACCATGCATGTTCTCATGTTCTCTACTAAAATGTCACTTAGGCTGGGAATGGAATATTCTAGTTGTTCCATGCACCCTGGATGCTGCCAACACATGCTTCTTGCAGCACAGCTGCTTACCTGCCATTCTGTCACCTCCACTTCTGCAATTCAAGGTACTTATCATTTGGAACTTTTGACTACCCACTGTATTTCCCACACGACATGCGCAAGATTTAGTGAGGATCCTCCACCATGTGCCTCACCACTTGTATAAAATATATGAAAATAGAAATAAATAACATGAGATGTTGTATACAAGCATATTTGTGTATGTACATGCTAATTATGAGTTAAAAATAATAAAAATATGTGTTAATCCTGTAATACATGTATAAAATAAGAGAGAAATATCTAGAATGAAAATGTAAATTTTTGCCCCCAAACGGCATACCACACTGGGCTCATAATCTCAGCTTCCTCCAATATAAAAGGACCAACAACATTCTTGTCATTGAAGCCAAATTGCTAAATAAGATGAGAAAAACAGAGAGAAAACCGTTCAAATTTCTATCATGACCAAATCCTTGAAGGGCTTGATGAGGAGACTAGTGATTTTTTTTTCATTTAAACACAGATAGATTCTCACTGGCCTTTGAGCTCAAAATTAGTCCATCATTTTCTTCATATTATTATTATTATTATTATTATTTATTCTTGTCTCTCTCTGTGTCTCCTCAGAAAAAAATGCAATATTTATCTCTTTGCGTGATTGTTTCCTGTTTTTCCATGTCTTCTATGGTAAATGAATATTGTGTGCTCCAATAACTGTGTCCAGTCATTCCACTTTTTCTATGGCGCAAATATGAATTACCACTTTTTTGGTCATCAAGTCGCTGGTTTGGTTCCACTGCAACTTGTTTTCAAGTTGCTTTCTCACAAAAAAAAAAGGAAAAATGAGAAAACCCAGATAAAAGTATAATTGAAAAGGGAAAAAGAAATCAATACAATAATACTGATTATAACTTGGTGGCAATGAAAAAAATTGCTGGGTTTTCATTCTAGTCACTTTTATCACTATCCTCCTCTTTGTGCGAGTTTACCTCCCATAGATTTTACATGAGATTGGTTTGTAATGGATGATTGGAACTGAAAAAAAAATTGTGCAACTGACTTCAGTTTAAATGCAGCATTCTCCAGCCAAGCTGAAATCAAACTACCTGTTTGAATATGTAGATGTTTTGGCACAGTCACTGTGCAGTATGCAAAGTGACTGTGCATCACAGCTTGGTTGAATCACTCTTGGAGAAAGGTTGGAG